AGCCCAATCAGTGACTAAATTCACATTGCACATTAAATTGTAATATGGTTTTTTAATGCCAGTTGTGATTTTTTTTTCCAGTAGACTATAATTAAAGAATCTAAAGCTTAGCATAAGGTATCAACCAGGCCTAGGTAGGTAACACTGAATTAGATGACACAGTTAGCTGGACTTAGTATTTTATGATCTCTTTATCTATCCTTTCATTCCCAATTTCTCACCCATCACTTTCCCAACAAACAAAATTCTGCTGATAGCTGAAAACAGCAAGTGATTGCAAGCAACAAGAACTCAGACAAATTTTTAAAGAATCTAAAGCTTAGCATAAGGTATCAACCAGGCCTAGGTAGGTAACACTGAATTAGATGACACAGTTAGCTGGACTTAGTATTTTATGATCTCTTTATCTATCCTTTCATTCCCAATTTCTCACCCATCACTTTCCCAACAAACAAAATTCTGCTGATAGCTGAAAACAGCAAGTGATTGCAAGCAACAAGAACTCAGACAAATTTGCAGGCCGGCATACTCCTGATGACAATTGTTTGTGTGTGTGTGTGTGTGTGTGTCTGTCTGTCTGCAAGCATATCTATAAGAATTTGTAAATATAAATTAAGGTGGTAATAAACAAAGCATACCTAGAATTATATATTGTCCAAAACACTGTATTCTTTTGCAAACATTGTATTGCAGTAATATCAGTTTTTTCCAATAGAAGAGAATACCGTATATGTAGCTCAGGGTTGAAATGAGGAGTTCTTGTGCTCTCTGAGCTTGGTTGTTTGCTTGCAGACGTTTCATTACCTGACTAGGTAACATCATCAGCATTTACACTGATGGTGTTACCTAGCTGAGTGATGAAATGTCTGCAAGCAAACAACCAAGCTCAGAGAGCATCAAGAATTCCATATTATTTTTTACCGCTTTACTGCTCCCTTATTCCTCCATCAATTATAAATGCCACTCCATGAAACAAAAAATGGGTGGAAGTCCTAGTGTAGCTTCTAGTAATCAGACATATTAACAACCATATGATTTAAAACACACACTTACCAATAACTAGCAGAACACCAACCAGAATGCCAACTGCTACTCCTACTGTTGGAAATGGATTTGGATTTTCAATTTCTATAAAACACCTTTCATCGACACACCTGCACACATTCACTATAATAAAAAGCATAGATCCATTATAAGCAAAACTCTAGCATGTGCTAAAAAGAAAATGTTGAAAGCACAATGAATGGCATTTTCATTGTATACCTTTCAGATTGACAACTCTTTCCATTGGTGGCCTTCCATTGTCATTAATTTTCAGTGATACATTATAGATTTTTTCTTCAAGATTCAAGTTTGTTGGGGAAATGTAAGCATGTTTGCCTGACAAAATAAATGGTGATAATTGTAATTATTATAATGGCAATAATAATTAATAAATACCTAAATAATTGAAGCAATATAAGGTCTTTACTCTTTGGCCACAATCCAAACAAATACCCAAATCTTTACTGGCTCATTGATTTCAATATGGCTGATTTCAGCATTTATTTATTTATTTATTTATTTATTTATTTGTGTGTGTGTGTGTGTGTGTGTGTGTGTG